AAAAAATATCACATAATAGCCTTCATAGAAATGGACTCAGTTTCCAAAGCTGTGAATTTTTATGGAAGCTGACTGTCCCATCTTTTCTCCAATGCTGTAGGATGGAAATACCAAGCCTTTGGTTGGCAATTGAGTACTTAAACACTGCATCACCACAACTCCTTATTTTCTAGAGCGATGTTTTCTTCAGAAAATTTCTAGATGATGTAATTGGTAATAAAATTAGCTTTAAGAGTCCATATTTTTATTTTGTGGAGTCTTTATGTGTTTCAATAAGCAGTTATGAAAAAGTTGAAATAAGAATATTTTTACCAATTCACACAAGACTTTTAGTCACTGAGAGAAAGAATATTAAAATACTTTGCCACAAAACCAAAGCCAGAACTGGTAAATTCTTCCATCAATATCCATCCTCTACTGCATAAATTTTACCGTCTCCAAAATATGTGGCTTATTGGGGAGCTCTGGTGGCCTAGTGGCAAGAAGCTGTACTGCAATCCCAAAAGTACACGGTTCGAATCCACCAGATGCTCTGCCGGAGAAGGAGGGACAATTTCCTGCTGTACCAGTCAGATCTCATTTGACGGTACATGCACAAAAAATAAAAAAAAAAATATGTGGCTTACTAAAAATACAGGATTTTATTTATATCCTAAAAACCAAAAATGTACAAGTGACTTTAAAGAGGTTATTGTGTAATTTTTAGTTGGAATAAAAGACTCTTGTTCCAAACTGGTACCTATTTTTGTAATCTTTATTAAATGATTTATTAATTTTGTAGGTCAATTCAGTTTGCTATACCTATTAACATTTTTGTTTCATTTCTCTGTAAGAAAGCATGTTTGTATTGTTGTTGTGTGCCGTCAAGTCAGAACCAATTCATAGCTGACCCTCCAAAGGCACTAATCACACCAGAAGAGATTGCCCATCCTTCCACCGTGGCACAGCTGGTGGATTCGAACTACATGCCTTCAAACTGCAGCACAGATTCTTACCATTAGGCCATCAGAACTCCCCATCTCTATATTTGTGTATTTGCAT